AATTTGCTTGTAACAAGAGTATCTGTGGTTCCCAAAAGCACCTCTGGAAGACAATTTTGAAATAAACTCAAGATGAAAACTTACATTGGCAAAATGTTTTAACTGCCTAAGTATAAATCAGTTCAAAATAAGGAAGGGGAGAAAGGCTTTAAAAGACATGAAAATAAATGGCTCTTTGTTTCTTTACAACCCAAACTTGTTGAATATGGTAACTGACAGTTCTAATTGCCACTGTGCTGACAAAGTGATGCTTCGCACACTTCAGCTGATGATGCCGAAAGGTGCTCTGCAAGAAAGCAATATCTTAAGATGCACACAGTTTTGAACTAAATCTACTCTTCCACATAATAGAACGTGATATCTGAAGCAGAAAATAATACCGAGCAGATTAGCATTCTCTGTCCCTTGATGATTTTATTTGTATCCTCATATACATAGCTGAAGCTATAAAAACTGCCCCTCAGAAATTTTTATTTGAATCTACAAATGATACTTTCATTACTTAGCTACTCAAAGCAATTACAATATGATAATAAGAGATACTTCCAATCCTTTTAAAAAACACTATATTCTGACAATATAAGACAATAAAAAACAAAGTACAAAACCACAGCAAGATCTTATTTAGTTGTCAAAAGTCAGCCAAATACTATCGATGAACTATTTGAAGATTTATCTAAGAAAGTCAAATTGTCAGTGTCAATTATATTTTATGTGAGTACAAAATGTGGGGGGAAATGTACCTAGTAGGCACTCAAATAACCCAGTCACTTAAAAAGTAATGAAGAAAACTGAAATTCTTTTGTAAATGTAGGTAATAGAAAACCCAGAAGCCCTTTGCTTTTGAACTACTTTACCCATTCCAAAGTAAAATGATCCCCCATCAATGGATTTGGCCATTCCAGGAACAACTACTCTAGCTTGTCCTGCTCAATTACTCGTTTAAATTTTATACCCCTACTTGTGTACATAAAACACTTTAAGCTGCTTTGATTCAATATTCAAACCAGTCACCTACAACACGGACCTGAAAATATTGTAACCAAAGAATAGTCACAGCAAGAAACCTATTTCATGGTGTCAATCTGACATTTACGCATTCATTCATTTAACTTGCAGGTGTTGATCTCTGACCACGTGCCAGGGCACACAGGGACACGCTTCTGTTCCTGTGCAGATCCATTCTGCTGGGGATGAAGACAGTCGACTTACAGATGCCCAGTGCAAGAGGGGGGACAAGTTATAGCAGAAATAGAGCCAGATGATTTGACTGAGAGTAAGCAGAGGTGGGGTGAGGGCTACTGGATTATGAGGTCAGGGAATGGCAGACTGAAGAGGTCACATTCAAGGTGACTGACACCTGCAGGACAAGAAAGTGTCAGCAATAAGGCCACAATGAGAGGAGTGAGTGGTGGGGAAAATGCGAGATAAGTCAGAGAGGTCAGGGAAGTCCAAATCATGCACAGTAAAGTCCAAACCATGATAAGCCTTGGAGTTTATCATAACAACAATGTGGAAAGCTCTCAGAGGGTTTTAAGCAGGTGAGTGTCATGATCTAATTTTTTTCAAAAGATGACTCTGGAGGCTGAATTTTGGCAGAATTAGAGGGGATATGAGAAGAGCAGTTGGGAAACTCAAGTGATTTTGGCAAGGGATGACGGTGGCTATGCAATGAAGAGAAGTAGATGAACACAGGATATATTTGGGAGTTATATCTGATAGGACATAGTGATGGATTAGATGGGGGAGGATGGTGAAGTCAGGGTGCAACTCAAGGCTGCCTTGGTGCCATTTACTGAGCTGAGGAAAGACTGTGGGGAATTATTTGGTAGGGGAGGTGAGGGAAAGTAGGGGTAAATCAAGAGTCCAGTTTGTGGCCAGATTAATTTTAGAATGTCTATTAAGTACCCAAGTAGGTATGTAAAGGAGGCAGTTGGATATAAAAATTGGGAGCTCAATGGACAGCTCAGGGCTGGATTTATAAATGTGACAGTCATCAGGGTATTGCAGTACTTAAGACTGGATCCAGGGAGAGTGCTGCTGGAATAGAGGCCCTAAGACTCAGTCCTAGGACAACTCACCATTGAGAGTTTGAAAAGAGAACTTTTCGAAGGAGAGTCTGAAAGGAGACTAAGGTGGCAGAGTCAGAGTCTGGAAGAAAACCACAGAACATGGCATCCTGGAAGCCACAAGTACAGAGTGACCAATGAGAGAGTGCTCAACTCTATCAAATGTTGTGAAGACATCAAGTAAGATGAGGACAGAAACGTGATCACTATATGTGGTAAAAATGGAGGACATTGGTCACTCTAAACAGAGAGATTTCTGTGACTTCTGGGGCCGGACACCTATTTAGAGTCCATTGATGCAAGAATGGGTGCAAATACTGAGACAGTGCTTCTGGTTGCTATGAAGGGTACAGGAAAATGGGAGAGAACCTGGCGGGGGGGCGCGGTGTGTGGGGCGGATAAGAAGTCAAGGGAAATACTAAAGGAGATATGAATGCTAGTGAGATTGGTCCAGTGGAGAGGGAAAAGGATGATGTAGAAGAAGAGTATGTTTAAATGCAGGAGAAAGTCTTGGAACAAGTAAGAGGGGATGGTACCCAGAGCACAAGCATCATCCTTAGATTAGAATAGGAACTCTTCACCAATTATGATAGAAGGAAAGTCACAGATTGTGAGTTTACATATAAGTAAATTGGTGTATTTTGGGTTAGATGATGAGGGGTTTTGGGACTAGACAGAGAGCACACACATATTATGGGATAGCAAAGCTAGTGGGTATCAATTATATAATGAATATATATATAACCATCTTACCATCTTAAGAATAAAGCAGTATATAGAGAGACTTAAAGATATATCTTAGATATTGATTTTGTCTGGTTGAAAATTTGATTCATCAATTTATCCCGCTTTTATACTGAGGATCTGTGAAGTACTAGTTTGGTAACTTTATAATGCCACCAAACAGAAAGCCAAACTCAAAATCTGTCTTCCATGGCAGGTTTCATCCTACCACCTTAGTTTTCTCTGATTTCCTCTAGACTCCGAGGCTACACTTCACAATACAATCAGCACTCATTCATTCCATATTTGTTTCCTGTTCGTAAATCTTATTGTCTCAAATTGAGACAAGGATGGGGTCAAATATTACGATATCACTGTCTCTCCCACTGTGAAAAACCTAGTATTACATATAAAGTAGGCACTTAAATGTTTGCTGACCAATTTATCTTTTTAGAATTGACTAATAAAAAGTTTTACATAGCAATTCCTTGGTTAACAGAATATGCATAATTCCTCATGGCACCTGCTAAGTACTGCCAAGAGTGCTGAAATTATTCATCAGTTTCTCCTTTACATGCTATTCAATTAGTTTGTCTGTGGCAAAGTCTAGAATATATATCAATCAAAAGCAGAAGAGTGAGCTAAGTACAAGCTATCTTCCTATTAAGGTTTGCATCCACTATCCTAGCTTTGGTCTAAAAAAGTACTCAGCTGCAGGAAACTTTAAGGAGAATGCAATTGTAAGGCTGGAGAATTACCTGGTGCTACTTGTTTTCTGTAGCATATTATGGATTTAAAATCAATTTGGTAATATCCTTAAAGAAAAAAATATTAAGAGAACACTCATCAGCAAAACCTATTTTGCATTGCTTTAGATCAAAGTTTTCTTCAATGCAAACTGAAAGTTTAGCAGATTTTAAGTGCTGTATATGGATTTCTAGCTTGTTAAAATATGTGAAGCCTAAATTTAATTCCAAATTTAATTCCTAATTGTTAAGCCAATTATAGATATTTGGATATTATTATATTTAAATCAGAATGAAAATATCACTTATATATTTTTTCTTTTAAGTAATTGTATTATCAAACAATATTAACCTTTAACTTTATCCAACAGGTTACCATGGAAAGTTAATAAATTAACAATCAGAACAGCATTTAACCAAAGCTCCCAGATACTACACATGGCAGTCAATAGTGTTCCAAGGAAGACAGTGATTACAGGTATTGTAAAATTTTGTCACGCTATAAAATAAAGTAGGTACTGACAGAATGAACTATTCCATTTTTCCATGTTATATGCAAATTGACAAAGATAATATCTAATAAAATGAAACATATCAAGAGACTTGGAATTTTAGACTCTATGAAAAACCATACCAAAAATATTAAGAAAACTCTTTCAGTGGACTCCCATAGCACTAGACAATACTAATTGAGAGGATGTTTTAAAAACATTTATTGCATAAAATAGTTTAATTGAATCATTTAATGAGTTCCATAAGATGCATCTGTATTTATAATATTTCTGTTTTTCAATGCTTGCATCTAAAGATCTGATGATAACAGGGTCACCAACTCTATAGCTAAAAAATATTAAATCTGTTTAGCTATTATTTTAGGTTTTTATTCATTTCTCACTAACCTACAGAGATTTTTATAGTTTTTACTTAAACCACAAATTAGTTTCTAACTGATAAAATGGCAAAGTTTATATTGTTCATTGATAAAATAAATCCAGACAATTTAGAATTATTTAAAAAAGCAACCGATAAACTATGATCCAGTCATTCTTTTTTGTGGGTTTTGGAGGGGGGAGGAACATACATTAGTACAGAATTTTTGTTTTAAATCATGAGGAAAAAAAGATAGGATCTTTCTCTAAAAACTTTTTTCTCCCCCATGGAGGCAATACACCTTAAAATGGAAGTCAATAAGCAATTAATGGCACAGACTTAACTAAAGTATTGCAAATGTGATGGTATAATATCTTGGTAAATATGAGAATTTTGAAAGCCATAAAGTTAAAGACTTTGATATGTGTAAGTTCAATAGACATGACTTATCACTATTTAATATGAGCTTTAATTTTTAAATGCCATGTTCCAATGAAAAAGTGTACTGCACAGGAAAATTGAAATTTCAATAAAGAATCCAGACAAAAGAAACAAACTTTATATTAAAGTACCTTTAAGAGGTTATACTTACGCAGCAACCTCCTCTTTTGACAATCCTTTGAAATTTACCTCCAGGTAATGATCTATGTCATCTTTTTCTTTGATCAACTGAGACCTAAATGAAATGGAAAGAAATAATAAAGCACTGCTTTATCAAGTTGAAAAGCTCCCAAACATATAAAATGCCACCAGGAGAAGAGAAATATTTAAGGTATAATACCGTATATAATAAATGTTCTACAATAGCTATAGAGATAGGTTGTTGATTAGTAATTTCCAAATTTTCATTTTCTTGAATGTTAAGAGATAAGGAAGAATCTTAAACTCAGTGTGCAAACAAATAAAACACCAACATATTAAAATAATCAGCATTCTTAAGAAAAATGGAGTTTTCTCCTCAAAGCTTATAAGCTCTTCCATTTTGCTCATGTTGCTTCACATTATAACTTTGCAATACAGAAGTCATATTCTGTTTGGCCCAGGATTTTGAACTAAGAACACCTGCTTGATACAAACATACAAAATTTATTTGTTCCAAACATTACCAAATTTTGCTCTGAAATGTTGTTTGAGTGGGTTTTTTAGTCACACACAAAATTCAAGTTATTACTAAAAAAGTGATTTTAAAAAGACTTTACTGAGAAATCTATTACACTGGTAGTGTATTTATTCTCCACCCTCCCTTGAACCTTTAAAAAATAAGCATACCACTAACATCTCCTAACAATGGGAGTATGGGACTAAACAAGCATCTGTTTTTATTCAGAAACTAATGGAAAATCTTGATATAAAACTTTGTCCTAAATGGTTATGAAAAAAGTGGGTTTTTTTCCATAAAATTAATATAAGAAAGTGTTCTTTAAAATCCATCTTATTTTAGGGATGTGAGACTGGGCTGCATTTTTGCTGGTGTTGAAAAGAAAATGGCATCTCAAGCATTATAAAAGGCAGAAAGAACAAGTTTTTCAGACTTTGTAAATACTCCACATTATTCAAAAGTAAAATTGAAAATAAGAATATTTGTATATCCTGAATTATGCATGTATTAAAAAAATCTGTTTTTCAAATTTTTTGAGAAGAAACTTTTATTTGCTGTTATAAGGGAACCTCCATGTTGTTTTAACTGTATGCATTTATTTTGGTCCAGGGACTTTGGTCTTTCCCAGAAATACTAAGAATAAAGTATGATCCTTCTCAAAACAAAATAGTCTCATAATACTTTGATCATTATGCCTTGTCTGAAGTGAAAATTTTGTATATAAAGAAAATAAACCTACATATGCAAATTATTTATATCAATAAATAATATATGCATCACTATAACTCAATAAAACCATAAATGGCAATTTCTTTTTTTTTTTTAAAGATTTTATTTATTTATTCATGAGAGACAGAGCGAGAGAGAAAGGCAGAGGGAGAAGCAGGCTCCCAAGGAGCAGGGAGCCCGATGCGGGACTCGATCCCAGGACCCTGAGATCATGACCTGAGCCGAAGGCAGAAGCTTAACCATCTGAGCCACCCAGGCGCCCCTTAAATGGCAATTTCTAAGTAAAACAATCCTCATTAATACTTATGACAAAATACACTGTTCTCTTCTATAGTTTCCGGGCGGCAACTCCAGGACCTCAGCAGCTGTTTAGTGTAGCAGTGGAGTGATGATGAATTTTTAGCCCCAGGATCATTTCAGTACCTAAACCTGGCCTGCCAACTTACCCTAGTAGTGAGACCGTGTCCTCCTTCCTCCAAAACAGATATTAGCACTCTAGACCTTGTGGATTAGAAGCTGTACACCTTTCATTTCTAAAGCCTCTGCTTTCAATTCTCCACTAATGTTTTTAAAAGGAAATATATCTCCAAAGCTTTATAGGACCATGATATAATTAGAATAGGTAATAAAACAATCAAATGAGTACTAGCTTGCTAAATAAATAAATTCTTTATATCTGAATGAGGTTCATTGATCCTTTGGAAATAGCAAATTTGAATATTCTGAATATAACAATATACTCTTATCTTTGAACAATTTTGTTTTCTGAGATGTGCTATTGACATTTCTTACTGCAAGAAATTCATTCTGTAGGAAAAGAAATGAAAACCAGGGTCACGTACCTTGGAATTGTGCCAGGGGAACATGGCAGCTTCTGTCTGGCTAAAGATGTAAGCTTTGGGCGTGTCATGGGCAGCGGGGGCAGGGTGGTCATTCTAGA